AAAGTATAAAAATAATTATTACTATTATTATTATTATTATTATTATTATTATTATTTTCTCTCTCGTTTTTTATTTTTTTATTTTTTTCGGTGTCTTATATTATTTTATAACTATTAATTTGTTATTATGGACTGTCTGTAACATTATATTATGTTTTATAAGTTTAAATATATGTTAATATTACTTTTTTAAAAAAAAATTATTGATGAATATATATATATATATATATATAATTAAAATATTTTATATTTATATTATTTTAATTGTTTTTCTACTTGAGCTTTTCATTCAAATTTATTATTATTATTGACAGATGATGATGATGATGACAATGATAAAATTTATATCTATAATTAATTTTAAAAAAATTATTTTTGTTGTAAATTTTTAATATATTCTATGTATGTGTTAATGAAACTATTTTTTTTTTTTTAAAAAAGGTGAAAATGTATGTTTTCCTGTAAACTATATATTTTTTTTTTCTTCTATTGATTCTATGTAAATTTTTTTTTTCTTTGGTGCTATTATTTTTAATAAAAAAAAAAAAAAAAATTTATTTGTAATACTTAACTATTGTAAAAACAAATAATTGATGAAATTCATTTTTCATATTGAATAAAATAAAAATTTTTCTATTTATTATTAAACCTTAATTTGAAATTAATTAATTTTTAATTAATTTATTTTATAATGATTATTTTTAAAAATAAGTTTATATAAATTGTTTTTGTAAATTTATGTGTATTGATGGATGATTGTAAAACATCCAAACAAAAAAATTTTTTTTTAATAATGTTGTGTTTATTATTATCTTTATGTAATTTAATTACTTTCATGGTTAATTAATATTTAAAGTACTGTAATGTTTTTTTTTTTTTTGTTAATGTAATGGCTATTAATAAAATGAAAAATGATTTAAAAATGTAAATTAATAATTAAGCATAAGGTAATTTAAATCCCATTAATTATCTTTCTTTCTTTTTTTTTTTTACACTTTTATTTTTTAATTAAGAATGTAAAATGCCATTTCTTTTTTCTTCTATTTAAATTCTTAAAAAATTTTAATTAGTTATAAATGTTTAATTTTTCAAGTACTTAACTTTTCATAGTAAAAATTCTTTTTTGAATGAATAACTCATCTGTTGATAACCTTTTTTTATATTATATAAATCTTTATTTGGCTAAAAGGTTTACTGTTAATGTTTCTGGGTATTTATTACATGCAATAGTATAAAATATATGAAAAAAAAAACTTTTTATAAACAATCTGATTCATTTTACATGAATAATTGTCTTACTATTGTTGGTTAAATTAATTGTTATAGGTTACACTTAATATGTTTATGTCAATCAATTTTTAATTTTAAATATTTTGATTTATTGTTTTTATACTTTACATAAATATATATATATATGAATCTTTGAAAATATCTCATTGCCTGTCAATAATAATAATAATGATAATAATTAAATTTAGTTTGAATAATGTAATTATGACAATGAAATACATTAATTATTATTATTAGTTTTATTCTCCGTTATTAAATCTAAATCTAAGAAAGTTTTGTAATTTATCTTGCATTTAAATCAAAATTATAATAATTATCTGAATAAATGGAGACGGAATGAATACTATTAAAATTTTTCTTACCTTATTTATTTGAAATGAATTTTTACTATCCTTTACCATGTCTTTTTCTAGGTTATCACATTGTTGTAAAATAATTAAACACTTTAACATTATTATCACAACTTTTGCACTTGTACAACACTACATAAGCAAAAAAATGAAAAGTAAACGTTTACTTTAAACTTTATATCACAATTATATCACAATTAAAAGTTAAATCAAATTCATAGATTCATTTCTGAATCTAACGAACTTTCCAGAAAAAATGGTGAGAGTTGCGCCAAAACGGTATCAAAAATTCTTTGAACCGTAGCAAAAAGGTTTCGTGTCTATCGATTTATCGAAATTGAAATCTATTTACAACAATGGTGGACCAACGTTCGTAGATTAGTTTTCAAATTATTTTTAATAAACCGTTATTAGAATTTAATAATTTTATTTATTTATTAATTTTTTTTTTATTTGTGATTTAATTTATATTCAGTATTAATTTTTTTTTTCCGGTAAGTGTAATAATTTTTTTAAACGAAATTTTTTGTAAAAATAAATCGTTCAATATTAATATCTTTAGTTGTGACATTCTAATTAGTTGCTTGACTTGAAATTTTTTTTTTTTTTTTTTTTTTTTTTTTTTAAATTTCGTCGTTGAACCAAAAATATAAAATTATTTATATAAATGTTAAACAAATGTCACATGCGATGAAATCCTTGAAACTTATTACAGTTAGTCAAAGTAGACATTTTTTCCAGTTTTTTAAATAGCGTTATTGAAGATCCACAGGAAGTTTTTTTTTTTTTTTTTTAATTGTAATTGAAGTGACAAAAAAAAATTATCGCTGAGGAAAATTTTATTTTAATTAACTAATTTCCTGGTTTGTGATGACAATAACTTTTAAATAATACAGTGCCCTAGTTTTTATAAAATGTCATTTAAAAACTTAATTTTATTAATATAAATTAATACAGAATTATAATTTAAATTTTGGAATAAAGTTTTACCTTTTAATTCTTTTATATTTAATTATCATTGACACTGTATTATACTCATATCTTTTATTGGTTCAATTAATTTTTAATAAATTTTTTTCAATTTTGCAATTTATTTTTTTTTTTTTTTTTTAAGATCAATTTTATGTATTTTGTGTCCTTAACCCCATAAACTTTAACTTAATGTTCTAGTCATTTGCAAACCAGTTACTGAGTTCAAGTTTTGTCTCTTTTGTATGAGACTTAAATTCTAATTTTAAATAAGTGATTTTAAAAAAAAAAAATTAAATTAAAAATTTATTTTTTCCCAAGTTATTATTTAAAGGTAAGAATTTTAATTTTTGTAAAGTTTTTACTAAATAAGTTTTTTCGTCAATTAAATAAAAAATTTCTTACTTATCATCACCATATTATTATTATTATTATAATAGTAATAAAAACTTGTATGTTTTTTGAGGGCATTTTTTATTTTTTGTAAAACAGGATTTTTAAGTAAAACATTAGTTAATATAATAGTTATCGATATTAAATTTTACGATCAGTTTTAGTTTTAACCTGTGTTAAAGATTAATAGAGATTTTTTGATTTTGTAGAAAAATGTCCGATTTGAATTCTGTATCAGAAGGTAATTATCCTCCAGTGTATCCACTGCCAAATGATGAAGATATCATTACATTAACAAAGTATTTTAAAAAAAAGTACAATGAAGAACCTGATTTTTATGCGAGAGCACCAGGAAGAGTCAATCTTATTGGTGAACATGTTGATTACTGTGGTTATTCAGTTTGTCCCATGGCTGTGCAACAGCATGTTGTAATTGCTTTTAAATTGAGTGATGACTCAGTCGTTAAGATTTCCAATGTTGATGAGACGTACAATAGTTACGAATGTTCGATAAATGATGTCAAGTGAGTTTTATTTTATTAACTCAATTTTTTAAAATCGAAAATGAAATCTGATTAAATTTTTTTTATTGAATTTACAGCATTCCTGAAAATGTTTTACCAGAATGGCATTTTTATTTCCTTTGTGGAGTTAAAGGAGTTTTGGAAAAATTGCCACCTGAAACTACTCGTAGAGGATTTCGAGCATCAGTTTATGGAAACATTCCGCTGGGCTCAGGTTTGAGCAGTTCTAGTGCATTGGTTAGTGCAGTCACTCTTGCCCTATCAAGAGCTTACAATTTAACTTTGACTAAAGAAGAACTTGCCGATTTGGCAGCAAAATCTGAAAGATATATTGGTACTCTTGGAGGTGGTATGGACCAAGCGATATCATTTTTGGCGACTAAAGGTTTTTGAATTTTCAATATGACTTTTTTAGGCAATTTTAATTTTTTTTTACAATGAAAAATATTTAAAAATTATTTAGGTTGTGCTAAGCACATATCATTTGATCCACTCAAATCAACTGATTTGAAGCTACCAGATGGTGCTTTATTTGTGATTGCCCACAGCTTGATTCAAATGAATAAAGCAGCTACTCAGGATTTCAATTGTAGGGTTGTCGAATGCAGGCTGGCCTGCCAAGTTCTTGCCAAGCGTTTGAGACTAGATTGGAAAAGAATAAATAAATTGGCTTTCTTACAAAAATCAATTGGTTTGGGTGTCCGACATTTGCGTGCTTTGGCCACCGAAACATTACACGAGGAACCGTACACTAAAGACGAGGTGATTCCCCCTTTTTTTTTTTTTTCCCCCCCAGTTAAAATTGTTTAACCATTCATTTTATTTAATAAAAGAAAAATATTCTTGTAGATTTGTAAAGAACTTCAAATAACTCAAGAAGAATTAAATAAAACTTCTCTGACGGAAAATACTAAACACATTCAACATTTTAAATTGAAACAAAGAATGCTTCACGTAACCGAAGGTAAAAAATTTCATTTGCATGATGAAATGATGTCGCTTGTAAATATTTAAAAAAAAAATTTTTTTTTTTAGAGGTTGAAAGAGTTATGGAATTTATAAGAATATGCAAAGAAGCGGAAAAGGGAACCATGTCATCCGAATCGGCTCTTTATAGCTTAGGAAAATTATTGAAAAAAAGTCACGAAAGTTTAAAAAACTTATACGAATGCAGTCACGAAGAATTGGATAAAATAATTAAATTGGCTGAAAATCACACTCTGGGAGCCAGGTTGACAGGAGCGGGGTAAATTTTCTATTTAAAAAAAAAAAAGAAAAATTATTAGCATAATATTCAAACTAATAATGTTGCACAATTTTAGATGGGGCGGATGTACCGTTGCATTAACCGCCAAGGATAAAGTCGAAGATTACATAGAAACATTAAAGGAAGAATTTTACAGATGTAACGAACGTGCGGAAGATTTAGATTTAGATAATTTAGTATTTGTCACAGAACCGGGAAACGGTGCTGCCATTTTTATCAAATCTTAAATTATCCCTTTATTTTATACAAGTGCCATTTTTCGGGTCATTTTCAATATCATTTCGTTAAAACAAAAAAGTATTAATACGGGTCTTCCAATCGGTACTTTACGTATACTCTTTTAGCTTGATTACTTTTTTTTTTCTTCTTCTTCTTCAGGGGAATTTTATTATCTTATTTTAAGGCTTTTTACAAGCTTAAGGAAAAAAATAAATAAACGAATTTATTCATGACAATTTAAATAAATGACGCTTGAAATGCTCATGTATTTTTATTTAAGCAAAAAAAAAAAACAAAACTTTTGACATCAATTTTTTCAGTATGTAATGTGCAATATATTTACACTCGTATACACATAATTTTTTTTTTTTTTTTTTGGAACAAACATCATTATTATTACTGATTTAAACAGAAAAAGACTGTTTTTAAAAAAGGATACAGTTAATAGCATTCCAGTTAAATTCCATAATTTATCATATCAAACTCGGGCTCGAAAGTAAAATAAATTTTTAACACAAAATTTTTTTTTTTTATAATTATATTTAAAACGGAAATGAAGTATTATTTTTATTATAAATATTATGTATTAAAAATTTTATCAAATAAATAAATAAATAAAATGTTATTTATTTTACGGTAGAAAAGCTTTAATGTAAATTTTTGACAAAAATCACCCAACGAAATAAATATAAGGCGAAAAAAAAAATTTATCATTCACGTTATTATTGAAATATTTATTTTTAAAAAAAATCTTTATGTTATTATTATTATTGTCGGTTTAAAATTTAAAAAAAAAATTGTATACGGGGGGAGGGGGGGGGATATACGACCGAGTATTGAGTTTGAAATATCAAAAAATTTTTTTTTTTTTTTTTTATACACAAATATCTTTAAACGCTTGAGTTTTTTTTTATTTTTATTTTATATATTTTTTTTTATTACGGTTATATATTATCTAAAAAAAATTAATTAATATAAAAAAATCGATTATATTAAATTAATTAAAAATGTACAAATTTTTTTTAATTTATAAAAAAAAAAACAAAAACAAAATATATACAAACCTTAAAATTAAACAATTTTTTTTTTTGGCAGTCGATCGTTAAAACTATCATTATTAATAAAAATATTTATTCTTCGATATTATTCAACGTAAAATGTAATTAAATAAATAATTTTATTATTGATTTTATATTATTTTTTTAATAGTTATAATAATTTTTTTTTTTTTTGTTTCAGCATTTTTATTTTATAATAATTCGTAAAACTTAATACTGCTACTTCCAACGGTTACTATGAATATTCTTTCACCGGAAGTTATTGATGTTACATCGTAAATTTCTTCGTTAACTTGAAATATCGAAACTTTTGATCCCGTCGATGCATTCCACAATTCAATCTGGAACAAAAAGCAAACCTTGTTTTTTTTCGCTGGAGAAAATTTTTTTTTTTTAAAAAAACTCAACTCGATGATTTGTAATTACCGAATTATTACTTTGCTGAAAAACTGCAATTAACGACTGATCGTTTAATTTAAAAAAACATGGCCTCGAAAGCATGCTTTGAACGGTTCCACCGATGAATACGTGAATGGGTAAACATTGTTCTCCATTTAATTGACAATATAAATGTCTTACGTGTGATATTGATGATGATGGCCTACACGAAACTAAAATATGATTTGTCGTCGGATCGTGAATTAATGAAAAAAATGGTCCGGTCAATGTGTGAAATCTAATTAAATTATATTCGTGTCCGGTATTTTTTTGGTAGAACACTACGGAATTCAATCTAAAAAGTTGAATTTTTTATATGAGATTACAATAATGAATAACAAATATAAAAAAAATTACTCTTTTGCAGTATCAACAAACCTGCAACACAATACACCTCCACGTGAAACGTTCGAAGATTTGGGAGAAATGTAACAAAGTGAAACAACCGAACTTGTATCCCCAGTAAGTTTGAGATCCGTTATTGGAGCGTTCGGAGAACGTATGTCATATAAAAGAACAGTTCCCTTTCCTGTACCTACATAAATAAAATTTGAATCTTCTTCGTCCCAACAACAACTCCAAAGAGCATAGTCTGCGACAAAGGTATGGATGACCTGAAAACATTTGTAAAATCATAACGACTTTAACTAATTTGTTCTTTTTCATAAATTACTCGTTTAATTTGAAATTTCCCAAAAAAATCAACATACACTTTTTATCTGCAAGTCGCTTATTTTGGCACATTTGTCAAAACCTACAGATAGAATCAAATTTGATGATATCGGATGAAATTTTATATCTCTGATTGTTTTAGTATGGAGGAGCATAAAATTATTTCCTACATAATCAGAACCTATATTTAATATTTTCTTAACTCCAAAACCTGGAAATAAAGGATTGTTGCTCTGGTGGCCCACGATGAGTGCTTCACAAGATTGATTATATACACAAACTCTACAACATCCGTTAAGGATTTTTATGGTTTTTTCTAACTTGAATTTAAAAGCCTTAAAAAAAAAAAAAAAAATAAGGTAAGTAAAGAAATTTTTAGTTATTTCAAATTTGAAATTAAAAAAAAAAAGAAGGTATTTACCTTGTTTGAAACGATATTTTCAGTCTTCCCAGTTATTTTAGCCAATTCATTTTGTAATTTGCTTAATTCTTGCTTGTAATTTTCAGTATATAACCTACATTTTTCCAATTCTATTTCTACTTGTCTTTTTTCTTCTTTAACCATTTCTATTCTTCTTTCTAATTGCATTTTCAGACTATAATCTAAAGCTATTAATTTGGTAGCAAATAATTCTCTAATATCTCTTGAATTTGCACTTTTATTACACTGAGGACAAAAATGTTTTTTTTGCTTTACCAACCAATTGAATATACATGATTTACCAAACAAATGACCACATTTAAGCGAACACAATCTATGTTCACCATCGCTAGTCCACATTTCTAAACAAATAGGACACATTTGATCGCTATCATCTTTATCATAAGACATATCATCATAAGATCTTTTCGTCGAGGAATTAGCTGGTTGAGTTGATGAATTTGAACTTTCTTGAGTGCAACCTTCATTTTCAGTACTTTTTAATTTTTTATTTTCATTTTGTACACTTTTGCTTGTCACTACTTCAGACTGATTATTTTCTTTGCTTTTCACTACGAATACAGAATCTGAATCCGAATCTGAATCTGTATCTGACTCGGAAACATTATTTTTCTCATCGATTCTAATAGAATTTGATGTATTATCAACATCTACCACTACTGAAGGAGATGATACATTTACAATTTCAATAACACTATCATTATTATTATCTTCATTTTGAACAGAATGATGTTCTTCTTTAAAAGCACTTTCCATTCTATAAAAAAAAAAAAAAAGTTATTTTCAATGTGAACATAATTTCCTCGTGTTGAAATAATAATTATGAGATTAAATTTCATATAACTTGGAGTAAAACCTAGTCATACCTATGTTGAAATATGAACATATGAGTGTAAAACTAACAAAACCAACCTTAAAAAATGTTTTTTAGCTTAGCGATTGAATTAATTCAAATTGAAAAATAAATTTTTCATGCTATTGGAAAAGTGAATTTTTAAGTTCAATAGTTTCTGTATAGCCTTTTAATAGTCGCCACATCTGAAATAAAGAATATAAATTAACAGGTAATTAATAACTTATTGTAAAGTAAATTTTGAATTAAAAATAAACAAACATTTTTATATATTAATTGAAAACTAAATAAATGATTGTAAAGTAAATGTCAACGTTACATTATTTCACATTAAATTATTTTTATTATTAGCAGAAAATTTCGAAATTATACATTTGAGTTTAAATTTTGGGGAAAGTAATTAAATGAAATACATTTATATAAAAAGGCATAAAATTTACATTTCGAATAAATATCTCTTTTTGAAATTGAATATTTAAAAAAAAAAAACCAAAAATAATTTAAAAACGCGAAACATTTGCTTTAACGCAAATATTATTTTTAGCAATAACGGTCAAAAATGTGACATGTAATTTCTTAAATATATTTTTAATACAAGAACCAATAAAGTTAAGATTTAAAAAAGGCTAGTTAAGATGAAAAACAAACATTTATTTATTTTTTTTTTTCCCCCCCCAAATAAAATAACATATAATTTGCGGAGATTAATTATTTTTATAAATCTAAAAAAATTTTTAATTAATAATGTTTAGCTTAAGCATAAGCAGAAAATCTAACGTATAATTCATTGCAGTGTAAATATAATTCATGATTACTTCCTCTCCTGTGATTTGTATTGCGTTATGAGTCATTTGGAGTGACAAGTAGCTCAACGAGTTTTTATTAATTCAGTCGTTTTAACTAGTGAATAGTGTTAGATTTCAAAATTTTTCTTTTTAGTTTTAATGTAAAAGTTGATGTTCATATTATTCACAAAGTGCTACGTATTAAATGAAAATATTATTAGTGAGTTATTTTAGCCATTTTTTTTGGCTAATTTTAAAACATGAATTGAAGTACTACTTGTCATTTTGTAAACGGACCAACACTTTATAGCATTGGATTTTTAGTCAGAAAAATTTTATTGTACAATGATAAGTGAAGGTGATGGAAAACCAATTAAAAAACCTGTTCCACTTCCGAGGAAAAGTTTATTGAAACAAAATAAAAATTCTTTAAAAGAAACCCTTTTAAGTAAAGATGAAAAGAATAACGGTTTATTCAAAGAAAAGGAAGAAAAAAATTTTGTTAGAGACGACTGGAAATCAGCATCAGAAAGTTTCGTTTTTGAAAAAAAACGTTTAATGAAAAGCGAAGTCAATAAATTTGAAAAATCTGTTAGAAATATCATATCAAGGAGGAAATCAGGGCACACAAAGTCTTTAAATATTGCTCCTAAAAGTGAGCTCACCAGAAGTGATTCCTTACCAGACAACAGCATATTTTGTAACATTTCATTTAATTCACCCTTGGCAGAAGGCAGTATTATACATAGTGATAAAGTAGATGGATGTGTTGATAAAAATTATTATGAAAATAAAGTGACACATCCTCCAAATTATCCCCCTCCTGATCCCCCAGATGAATCAATTTACGATCAAATGAAAATTGTCGATTTTCCAAACTTGCATTCGGACTTTTCCTACATCTCCAACAATTCATCAAGTTCTATTTCCACTGGATCAGACTGCATGACTCCTTGTGATTTTGATTCAAATAGGGAAATTTCCAAATATGATTTATCATTAGTTCCTGGACCCAAAAATGTTAATAACCGATATGAAATTGTGGGCAATAGTGCAATTAAAAATTGTTCAGATGAAGAAAATAGTTCATTGAATCAATCACCTACACCTTCTGAAACAGAAAAATGCTGTTCCGAAGTTGCTGATTGTATTAAAAACAATGCAAAGCCATTTAATTCACAAATTAAATATATAATTCATTTATTCGATCCACTTCAAGACAATAAATTGAATGTTAGTGATAATACATTAGACTTATTGTATAGTGAGAGTACATTAAAATTGAAAACTTCCGATTCATGTTTTATCGACTCGAAAGAATCAGAACCTGCAAATCATACCAAAGATGCAGAACACATCAAAATGAAAACTCAAAATATTATCCCTCCAAATTTAAAGGAAGGGCATTATGGAAAAATTAAAAAACCATCTAGTTCAAGCATAGAATTACCATCAGTTCAACCTAATATTGAACCCCCACCAATCCCACCTAGAAATTTTCCACCTAGAAGTTTATCAGAAAGTCTTGAAAATAAAAAGGAATCATCGAGAGAGGTTAAATCAAAGTCTACCGTTATAAAAAATGAAAAAGAAATTAGTAATGCCTTGGAGGAGAAGCATAAATCATCTGATGTCATGCAGTGGTCAAGTTTGAAAAGGGTTGCTAAAAAAGTGGCTGATAATATTGAACACAGAACTAGTTATCTGTCATTAAGTGGAAAAAAAATTAATAAAAATTCAGATGAGGAATTTCCTACAAAATCATTATCGAAAGTAAAATCATTTTCTGGCATTGGAAATTTATGCCAACTTCCTCAAAATTTTTCTAAACACAGTGGAATCATGTACAGGCCTGGAGGGATTGAAAGGTGGGGTGTTTTATCACAGAGGAAGTTGACATTATTTGCGAATAAAGATAGTCCTGATGTTAAAGAAACGGTGCCAATGGATAATGTTCTTTCTATTCAAGCCACCCTAAATAAAATTAGGTATGTTATCGGAGAATATTCTACTGTTGCCTTATTTTTTATTTTTTATTTTTTCAAATTTTGTAACAGTTATTCAAACAGGCCATGATTTAATAAGAATTATCATTTATTTATTTAATGGATAAAATTTTTCACATATTCTTTAAAAATACTATGTGATGATTTAATTTTTTTTTATTTCAGTAATAATGAAACGTTAGGAATTTACTGTTTTGAAATATCTGTGGCTTCGAGGAATCAGTTGCTATTGTTTGGAGTTCCATCGATATCAGAAAGACACATTTGGATGAGAAAACTATTGGAAAGTATTGGACCTGGATTTTCAGCCAAACTTAGCATGGATTACACAAAAGCTGGATGGTGTTTCGCAAAGGTAGTCTTTAAAACTATATTTAATTTTATTTTTCATTCATGGCAAACATAATTTTTCGAATGAATTCAAGTTTTTATATCTGATAAGTATAGAACATCATTGTGTAAGCCCCCCAGACTCAAAGCAAAAGAGCTTTAATTGCAGTTGGCGTTTTTTAATTATTTAGTTGGTGTATGATGAATGAACTCGATACTGGGTTTGGTTTGCTTATGTAGGTCACAAAAACGTTTTTTTTTTTACAAAATGAAAGATTTCTTCTGTTGCTAACAATTAACAATTATCATGACATATTCAGAGATTGTAAAAAAAAAAAAATTCTCCTTTAATTTTTACTACACTTTTACACACTACTTTTCCCAACAGAAAAGTGCTGTAAGGTTAGGGTTCAAAAAAAAAAAAAATGATTTTTTTAATTTGGGCACAATAATTAAAATAATTAATTGGTTTCCAATCATTTTAGAAAGTTAATTGTTATCGTAGAATAGAATTGAGTTTTCCTTTTCTCACTCTTATTTCTTATCGTTATATTAAAATTTTTAATTAGAAAACAATCTCTTTTGTTGTTTTGGTTGTGTTGGTTCGTCGTGACAATAATTTTTTTTTTTTTTTTTTGATAATAATTTTGAAATCGATTTGAAAACCTTAAAGAAAAAAATCTATTCTATCCATCCCTGATTTTTTCTTAATTAAAAAAAAAAAAAAAATTATGAGTAATTTTATATATTTCTCATCATTTGCCAAGTCGAAACGACGACGTTATCACACGACGAACTCGCGAGGAAATTTTTTTATGTGTGTATTTATCTGAAGAATAATGTCTGCACATTTTGTTGATAAAACAAATTTTTTTTTTTTTTTTTTTTATTAATGAGATATTTCTCATAAAAAAAAAAACGAAACGAAACGAAACGAAAAGAACTTATTCAACGTTTCAAAGTTCAAAAAAAAAATTTGTTTGTAGTTGTTGTTCTTCCTGTTGCTCCTCCTGCTGTTGCTCCTGTTGATGATGGTCTGGGTGCATGTGTGATGATGATGATGATGATGATTTTATGTTTGGTTTTAATGGATGGAGTAGGTTAGACGATTCGTTAACAATTAAACCTGACTTACAATTCAATAAATTTTTTTTTTTTTTAAATAATTTACGGTTAATAACGAATTTTAAATAATAATAATAATAATAATAATAATAACAAAAAAAAAAGCCAACGGCCATAGCGTGCTGGTCACACCGGTTCCCGTACGATCACCGAAGTTAAGCAGCATCGGGCGTGGTGCAAACTTGGATGGGTGACCGTTTGAGAACGCCACGTGCTGTTGGCTTAAAAAGAGGAAAAAAATGAGAACAAGACAAAGTAAGAACCAAAAACAAAATCTTGTTCTACTGTCGACCTGAGGCAGCTCGACGAGAATGTGAATTTTCACTGCTTCTGACCCTGGCCACTCCAAAGATGTTAGTCACTGGAGCCCAGTTCAGGAGACAAATCGTTCCCATCGAAAAAGACGGACTCAGGAAGACCTTCAAGAATTGATGTGGTGCTATCTTATAATAAGTGGCACCACCGAAATTCGAGTATTTGTCCCTAAGGAATCGGGTAGAAACCCCGGATAAATACTTAAAAACTCCGACAAGTAGCCTTGTCGTGTTTAATGGTGGATAATAATAATAATAATAATACTTAAGTTTAAAAACAAAGGTTTGACATTGAATCAATAAGGTAAAATAATAATAATAATGATAATAATAATAATAAAAGAGTAGGCGAATTGTTGATATAAAAATTACAGACGATTTCAATGCAATGCAAAACTAAATTACTCGTGACGAAAAAAAGTTTTTTTTTTTTTTTTTTTAAGTGAAAGTCGGTAGCCCCCCTTTCTCGTCTTCCCCCCCCCCCCCCAAAAAAAAGAAAAGTTTGAAAATTTTCCAACGTTCGATTTCATTTAAAAAAAAAAAAAAAAAAAAACACAACAAATCAATTGGAAACAATTTTTTGTTTGTTCGTATCATGATTGTTTTGTATTCTGTGACATGAATTACGGCACGTTTCGATGGATTAAAAGAAGCACGAATCCATTTTTTTTTTTTTTTTTTTTTTTCTAATTATAAAGATCCGTTTGGAGTCGAGGCTGAATAAAAAAAAAAAAAAAAGAAAAGAAAAAAAAAAATGGAGGAGAATAATAATAATAAGTTTAAACAAAGTCTAAAAAGGGGATAAAAGGGACAAACAATTTATTATTATTATTATTATTATTATTACACGTGAAAGGTATTTTACTACCACGAGTCTCTCTAACTGTAAAAAATGAATTTTTAATTCAAAAAGAAAGAGAGAATATTCGAGAATGAAATAGGAAATGATTAATTAACTAAAAGGGATTAAATAATTTTAATTGGACTCCATTAAAAAAAAAAAAAAAATGGCGGAAAGACAAAAATCGCGCCGGGGGGTTTTTTTCCCGGTCAAAAATGGAGTAAGTTTAAATCGTTCGATGTATTTAATTTCAATTATCGAATTACTATACTAATAATCGATGAAAGGAGAATTGACGTTATGAAAAGAAGCGGCGAAAAAAAAAAAAAAAAAGTTTCGGCTTTTGATTGGAAAAAAAAAACAAGAAACAAACGAACAAACAAACAAACAAATAAATAAAAGTTGTTTTGTAAATTATACAAACAATGGGAATTTAATAATTTACTTTTTTTTTTTTTTTGCATTCGTATGCGTTTTTATTACGATTTTTTTATGAAAACGATTATCGAAAATAAAAGCTTTTCAAAAGCTTGCAATTTTGTATTTTCCGAAATGCGGGGGTTGGGGAGAGAGGAGGGGGGAGAGGGGGCTAAAAGTTTTTATTTATTTATTTCTGTTGACACGTCATTTATTTTAAATGTGGAGTTCGTCGTCGTCGTCGTCGTTTTTTTTTTTTTTTTTTGTGGTTAAGTCGTATTTTCGAAACAAATAAATCACATTCGGTTTGATTTATTATTATTATTTTTATTAGTATTATTATTAGTATTAGTATTATTATTATTATTATTTTAAGAATCGAATTTCTTACTTGGCAATTTTTTTTTTTTTTTTTTCTGAAACGCAACCTCACGTTTCGATTTTCGACTCTCACAAAAAAAAAAAATAAATTTAAAGTTGAAAAAAATAATTTTATTATTATTGCTGTTGTTGTTGTTGTTCCTGCTGTTGCTGTTGCTATTGATGATGATGATGATGATGATTTGGTCACGGTAAAGGAAAGTCGATGAGAAATTTACGACAATGACGTAACCGTAGCTTATTTAGTTAATCATTCGAGATTTGTTTGAACACCTGAACGACTTTTATTATTATTATTATTATTATTATTATTATTATTATTATTATTATTATTATTATTATTATTAAAATGAATCGGAAAATTATTTTGGGAAAATAAATTTTTGTCGAAAGGTGTGTGGGTGTGTGCGTGCGTGCGTGTGTGTGATCAATCGATCAAAATCTTGTCAAAAAAATTCCATAAATTTTAATTATTTATTCGCAAGGAAACCGTTAAATCATTTAATCGATTGTTTTTTTTTTTTTTTTTTTTTTTCAAATCTTCATTTTTAAAGGATTTAATAATAATAATAATAATAAAATGGTCGGTTGAAATTAAATGAAACGACAAATTTTTTTCAACAAACAAACAAACAAACAAAAGTGCGTTTTCATTATGTAAAAAAAAAAAAAGAACCGATAGAAAAAAAAGTAAAAATATTTATTAAAAATAAGGTTCGGCATTGTGTTTTCCCCTTCCCCTCCCCCCTCCCCTCCCCTATTGACACGATAACAATGGACGTGCATTCATTCAATTTCACGGGTTTGTTAAATAGTTTACGGTAAAAATAATAATAATAATAATAATAATAATAATAATAGTAATAATAATAATAATTAAAATAAATAAATGTTAATTAACGATTTGTCGCCGATACATCGTGTGTCAATTCGTTGTAAAAAAAAAAAATTTCGAAATGTATGTAATGGTAATTATTATCATTATCATCATCATCATCATTATGGTTGTTGTTGTTGTTTTTTCGTTTGCACTTACGAGCAAAAGAAAAACTTTCTCGAAATTTGTTTTTTCTGCGTTTTGGGAAACGAAATTAATTTTTTAAAATATATTATTATTATTATTATTATTATTATTATTATTATTTTCATCACGTGACCGAATAAAGATTTTTAATTCGTTTATTGTTTATTACGATGTTTGTTTTGAATTTCCTGGCCACGACCCTGATTATTACTTAATTGTAGACTAAATAATTTTTTTGTACTGTTGATGAGAGGATTATTTTTTCATCACAACTTTCGTGACGACGTAACATTTAAAAAAAAAAAAAATAGTTTTTTGTTTGGTTGTTTGACTGTTTGTTTGTTTGTTTGTTTGTTTGTTTAATGAATAATAATCTCTCTCTCTCTCTCTCTCTCTCTCTCTCGTTGAGGTCGAATGTTATGAAATGAGAAAGATTGAAAGTTTCGAAAAAAAAAAAAAAAAAAAATTGAAATACGAGTCATTTTTCACTAACAAATTTTTTTCTTTGGGTTTAAGTGGTTGGTAGTCGTGGTAGCAGCAGCAGTAGTAGTAGTAGTAGTAGTGGCAGCAGTGTTGAATAGTTTCTAAAATTTCTAATGCCATCATTTGTTTTTTTTTTTTTTTTTCTAAAAACATTAAAAACTCATAACTGGCTGGCTATATAGCCAGTTTTAAATTTGACATTTTTTTGTTTTCACGTCACGGGTCAATAAAATTTTTTTGTTGTTGTGTCGTCATCGTTTTGCTTCATTGCAAAAATATATTTAAAAATAATAATAATAATAATAATAAATGATTGAAAAGTTTTTCTTTTTCCCCCCAGGAAAGTGTCGCTTGCGTTTGGACGAAATATTGCATTTTGTTACACCACAGAACATTATATTTATCCTCCGAATTAGTTCCTATAATAGCAGCCGATCTCAGAAAAGCGAGAAATATAAGTGAGTGGATTTGAATAAGAATAAGATTAATTACGTCGGATTTTAATTAGATGATAATAATAATAATAATAATAATATTTTTTCCAGCTCTTCAAGTCGAAGGATTCACGTGTGAGAAAGTCACGGAAAAGGGTCCGTTAATACTCGTCGATTTGCAAGATAAAACTTTGTATTTGCAAATGGATTACGTTCGTGAAACTAAAGCCTGGGAACTTGCCATAACGGCAGCCGCACTTAAAAACGGTCCTTCTTTGTGCGAACAACAATTAACCAAAGATGACGTGCCCACGATTGTGGATAAATGTTTGAATTTCGTTCATACGCAAGGTGTGTGTGATGATGATGGGGAGTTTACAATTCTTCGAGAACGTTCCTCCCCCCCCCACCCCTTTCTTCGTTTCTAATCGTTCTAATGGAAATTTACACTTGCAGGTAGTTTTTCCGAAGGTATATACAGGAGAAACGGATCGAACAGAGCCGTGAGTCAATTGCTCGCATCCTTTCGATGCAACGCATGGTCCGTTCAATTGAGCAGAGATGAATATACGGAATTTGACGTGTCGTCCGTTTTGAAAAGGTTTTTCAGGGATTTACCGGAGCCTTTACTCGTACCGGAAATTCAAGAAGATCTCGGAAAGATTTTAGGTTGGAAAGAGAATTTGGATTTGTCGATTTTATTTTTTTCTCTTTTGGAATTCAATTTATGGTTTTGTTTTTGTTTTAGCTTTTACGAACGTGAAGGAAAAAATAGAAGAGTACAAAAACACGCTTAAAAAGTTGCCTTCAATAAATTATTTAACGGCTCGAAGACTTTTGTGTCATTTGCATTTCATCGACAAATTGAAAGAGAAAAATTTAATGGGAGCGGAAAATTTAGCCGCCATTTGGGGTCCGACCATTTTGCAAGTTCAGGAACAAGTTTCTCTCGGTTCCGACTGTTTCAAAATGGAAACGTTGATCGTGAATAATTTAATTTGTTTTTACCCGGAAATATTCGACGTGAAGGAGGAGGAAGTTGAAAAAGAAATGAAAATATTGAAAATGTTGGAAAGTTATCACACGAACAGCAACAGCCTTAATAAAAAACCATCGGGAGAACTTAAAATTTGGGTTTATTTGTATTCGCATAAGAACACGGATAATTGCGTTAACATATCGGTAAGGGATTTTTATTGGGGGAAAAAAAAAAAAAAAAATGGTGTTAGAATAACGATAATAATAATAATAATAATAATAATAATTTTTATTTAAGATAAATCCACAGAAAACGGCCGAAGAAGTTTGCAAAGAATTAAGTGCTAAAACAAACGAATCTCTTCATTCACTCTGCCTGGAAGAAGTTATTTGCAGCGGTCATTTGTCGCGTCCGCTGAATCATTCCGAAAAAGTACTGGACACGGTACTGAGGTGGAGTTATTGGGAAGAAAGCGACAGAAAAGACAATTGTTTGGTATTGACGAAAAACGATTTGTTTCAACAAGTCGTGAAATATTCAAAATTTCCCGTTATAGTGAGCGAAGAATTGAAATTCGCAGATCAAAAATCAAAAACTTTTAAAACTTGCCTCTTCGAATTTAGTCAAGCGAAATTAATTTGTTACAAGGATAAAATGGTAGGCACAGACCTTCCCCCCCCCTCGCCCCCCATTTTTTTTGTTTGTTAATGATTTTTTCTGCATCGAAGTAATAAAAGCAAAAATTTATTTTTAAATTTTTTTTTTGTAGTGTTCTCAGAAGATTGGAGAATGGAAAATCGAAGATATCGTCTGGTATTTCGGTCACGAACCTAAAAGAATACCCAACGCAAAATGGTCGATAACTTTTATAGAAAAAAATTCGATGGCTCCACGTACGAAAGAAAAAATATATTTCGGTAATACCATTTGCGGTTCTTCGGAAGAGCAAAAATTAAAATTAATAACCGCCATGTTGACGGCGCAATATTCGAAAGACATATTACCGATTCCTAATCTCATGGAGTGATTTATTTAAATTAATTAATTATAAACAAAGACTGGGAGAAAAAATTAATGCGAAATGCATCGACTGCATTTATTACCTAAATGTTTTTATAAATATTTATATTTATCGTTGTTGTTGATATCGTTTTTATCATTGAGAGTAATATATATATATATACATATAATAGTAAATGAATGTTTTCATGTGTTTTTAAAAATATATATATATTTTTTTTTTACTTTGAGTTTATTAAAATATATATAAATATAAATATAAAAAAAATTGTCGCTTTATTTAATAAGAAATTATTTATTATTATTTTTTGTAATTGAGTTTTTTTTTTTTTGTTATTTCCTCATCTGATTTCAGTTGTTTTTTCATAATGATAATGTCAGCCATTATTTCTTTTTTTTTTTAATAATATAAATTAATGGCGGTAGTTTTTACTTTTAATTAGTTTAATTTATAATTTTGTAATTATTTAGGGATGAATTTAATTGTCAATAAATAAAACAAAAATTCAATATAAAAGGGAAAGGAATATTTGAAAAAAAAAACGATTGAAATGTCATCGTGGAACAAAGAAGTTTATGTTTATTTACTCTATGGATATACTTTTAGATTAGAAATCTCTACAAAGATAATTCATTTACGAGAAAGGTTGATGATAAATTGAATTTTTTTTGAAAAATTCAATTTAATTAAAAATTGATCTGTGATATAATCGTATTTTTATAATAAATTATTTATCGTGAAATCGTTTGGCTGTGTTTATAATTTATTTATATTTAATTTAAATGTGAAAAATGTTTGAATAAAATTTAATTAATCTAGTCTTTCGACCGGGATAAAAGCTTATAACCGGCAGTGATAAGTTTGATTTTGTGCTATGAAATTTATTTGTAATTAAAAAAAGGTAATTTTAAATAAGTTTAAATTGAATTTAAATCTTTGATTTTAAGTGCGCAATTATTTATATGTATACACACATGTAAGTTTTTATTTTTTTAAAATTTTTAAACGCGCTTTTAAAAATCTTTTAAAGTCAACAGGTATGGTCTATCCTTTTCAAGGTCACATTAGTTTATTTAAAATTTTGTTGTTGTTGTTGTTGTTGTTATCCCTTATATATTCCAGATGGAATATGGATTGTGGAATTTTCACGGAAGGTTTTGGGCTGGCGGAAACAATAGTTTTACTCCTTCGGAAAGTATTTCAAAAAATTTTTACACGACTGTAAATAGTGATTTAGAATCGCCGACGTTTCATATAACAACTCCTGGTAAGGCTTAAAGTTTAAACGATTTGTAAATTAATAATTTAAATTTTAAGTCATTAAAAAATATTATTTATATTTTAATAGATAAATTATTTCATTTATAACTGACAACAGTGATTTTAAAAAAAAAAAAATTGGAATTTTTTTTTAGATTTTTTTAACTTATTACATAAGCTTTATGTTTACGACACTGACAGCAAACCTACAAACTTATAATAATATTTTTATTCGCTTGACTAAAGACACAACTTATGATTATTTTAAAACTTGGTAAATTTAAAATAATATGAAAATTGAATTAATTTTTTTTTAATTTTAAGTTAATGATGAATCTACAAATCTGTACTCGAATACTTCGGTAACTCAAGGTCCTACTAGTTTAAGAACAAATTTGGAATTTTTAACCGTCAAAAATGGTGTGCCTCAGAATAATAGGATTTCCTCATTGGTAATACCTGAAAATCAAGATGATCTGTAAGTAAACTGTAACTTTTTCTTTTTTTTTTTTTTTCTAAATCATAAAATTAATTATTTTAAACAATCATTTCTTTTAGTCTTCATTCTGTATCTTTGGAAACTGTGCAAATAACTTCGGATTTAGTATCGGAGCAAAGCAGTATGGATAGTTTGACTCCTACTGACTCTTCGTTGCCTCCTCTCCTTAATCACCACACAAATTCTAGTTTGGCCAATAATGATTCCCATAACATTAGCAACATTAGTAGTAACAATAATAATAATAATAATAGTAATAACAGCAACTGTAGCAGTAACAATAGTGAAAATAATAAAAGTACTCGCAATTCAAACATAAACGATAACAATGATGAACCTTGTATGGAAAATAATGAAAATCCATCGGATTTAAACAAAAAAATGGTAGGAAAAATTGAAAATTTAGATAATCAAGAGGTATGGGAGGGGACAGATGGGACCAATATTAAATTAGAAAATAATTCTGCTGTTGATTATCTTTTTCAACAAAGGTATCCCTATTTTTTTTTTTGTTTGTGTAATTTTGTCTATTATGAAATTAATAAAAAAAAAAAAATTAATTTACAGTTATCAACATCCTATGTATGAAGTAGTTTTTTCAAAAATATCTAATAATCGAAGAGAACCTGGTACATCCGATGAGGAAGAAGAAGAAGAAGAAGATGATGATGATGATGATGGTATCGAATGTGATGAAACAGTTTCACAATTTAGAATAATTGATAGTTTGCAGACAAATGTAAATATTCAAAATAGGTAAATAATTAATGATCAGGGATTAATTAGATTTTTTTAAAAATAATTTACAATTTCCATTGTATATACTTTGAAAAAAAAATTTTCAGATTTAAATCAGGTGAAAAAAATGATGTTGATACGGACATAACTAGAAACGTCACACCTGAAAGTTACAAATTAAATGGTAAAAGAAAAACGGGACCTTTAACTCCTCAAAGAATAAGGTTTGATTAAGGATTGTACCTGAGTTGAAGTTATTATCAATCCCTTTGGCGTAAATTGATTATTTTTTTATAGATACGAGAGAGAAGAATATCGGTGTCAAATATGTGCCTATAGTTGTACCGTCGAAAAAGCTTTTCACAAACATCTTAAAACTCACACGACCGGAAGGGAAACGAATCAAGTTAAAATATCTTGCGTCATATGTGGAAAAGACAGATCGTCCGAAGTCGACATGAACAAACACATGAAAAAACATCGTGACGACCGTTATTTTTGTTGTGATATTTGTATATTTAAGACTGTTCAATTGAAAAAGGTATTTTGTTTGTTCATCCATTCCCCCCTTTATTTTTTGCCCGTAATTTTTTTATTATTATTATTTTTTTCCATTGTAATTCGTTTATTTTTTTACAGTTAATACAACATCGTAGAATGCACACCGGCGAAAAACCACATCTTTGTCCACATTGTTCGTATCGTTCGGCCAGACGTGATAATTTACGATCTCACGTTAGAAGAGTACATAAAAAGGATAATCTTTTTTGCGATACTTTTTCACCCAGGGGTCTCACATTAACGGATTACGTATCAAATCCTACAGGAGGAATATCGTCAATTATCGTTCCTTCGGGAAATTCAAAGGAATCGCCATTAATGAACGAATAAGAAATTTTTGGTAAGAACTTTTTATTTTTTTTATTATAAAAAAAAAAAAAGGTCCACACTTGACTTTAATCTTTATTTTTTTAAACGGTCGGTCATTTTCAAAAGAAAAAAGCGTCGAAATTATTTTATATATATATATATATATATATATATATATATTTTTTTTTTTTTTTAGTACAAAACAAATGAGATATTTTTAAAAAATTAATTTTATAATAATGGGGGGAAACAAATTTTTTTATTTTATACGGTCGATAATTTCGTTTCGAAGCCTTTCAACAAGTTAATAATAATAATAATTAGGCTGGTGAGGAAGAAAGGAGAAAAGTATGATGAAAACGTTATGCCTGTACTTTAGGTTTTGTTTATATCACAATTTAACCTATAATTTATTTATAGGTTGTAGAATGAAATTGAAGAAAATAGGTTTTTAAGGTTAAGGTTTAGGTTTTGAAATGGGGAAAAATTTTTGGTCCATCATTTCCATCAAGTAGAAGTATATGAATGATTTTGTAGTTACCTTCTTTTTCTATTGTACGGGTTATGAAAAGATTTATTTTATCGGTTTTAACTGGTGGAAAATTTAAAATTTTTTAAAAGAAATCATTACAAAATAATAATAATAATAATATTAGCAAAAGTTATGATTGTCATGATGATGATGATGATGATGATTTTGCGGTCATTATTTTGCACAAGTTTATCGATAGGATTGTTTGAATGATTGTGCTGTGATTAATTTGAAACTAGTCATTTCAAAATTTTTTATCGTGTGATATTATTAATATTAATATTAAAAAAAAAAAATTGTTTATTTTTTTTTTTTCTACGCCATTTTCAATTATTTTAAGTAATAAATTTTTTTTTTTTTCGCTCGGATTAGCTTAATTAAAAAATTCCGTTTTTTTTTTTTTTTTCGTTAGTTTTTATTAATTTTTATAATTGAGAAATTTATAAATTTTTACATAAATGATGAGAAATTGAAAAAGAATTTTATAAAATTAAATTTGTGCCTTTATATGATTATAAAAAAAAAAAAGGGAGGGGAAATTAAGAAACAATTTTTTTTTTTGTATATTTGTAGCGGCCATTATCGTTAAGTTTATAACTTATTAATAATCAAGTGTGATTTTTTTTTTTTTTTTTTTTTTTAAATTATTTGCCATGGTTTAAAATACGAATACGTTGGCCAGGAAAATTCGCATTCGTTTAATTTTTAAAACTTTTTAATTAATTTCGATAAATTTAATTTACTTAGCTTTTATTTTAATGTTTTAAAATTGAATGGATAAAAATTTTAGGTTATTGCAACGTATTGTAATTTTTAAATTTTTTGTAAATTTTTACTTTTGTTGAATTTTATTTATCGTTATTATTATTATTATTATTATTTTAATGAAATACGAAATTAAAAATGATTGATTGTGATTATTTTACGTTACCTGACGATTAATTAATAAATTATTTTAATTTTTAATAAAGTACATGTACTTCATTTAATATAAAAAGGCGGGAGGGAAAACCGTTAGGGAAAAAACAAAAAAACGGTTGGCAACAAGTTCGAACGTTCGAGAATGCCAATTTAAAATTGTTGTTTTGATAATGAAGGAGATAGTTTTGATGATTTATTTTAGATAAATTTAACTTTTGTTCTTGTGATAAAATATTGTTTATTGTTATTATGTGTAAAAAAAGAAAATGATTGATTGAATTTATTAGTTAATTTAAATTAAATTTAAAAAAAAAAACAACAAACAAACATTGAAAATAAAAAAAAAAAAAAAAAAGAGCACGCTTTTATCAAAAAAAAAAAAAAAAAATTACGTTTTTATTTCAAATGTTTAAATAGTTATAAATCGTTTTTTTGTTATAGTTGATGTTTGTTTGTTTGTTTGTTATGTGATATGAAATTTTAATTACAGTTACAAAAATTTACTTATTAATTATCGATTAAAATGAAAATATTTTTTATGTGAAAATTTTCAAACCAAAGGGAAACATAAATGAACGAATGAAAATTTTAAATATTCGTTCGTTCTTATCTTATTTTATTTCAGGCTAATTTTTTTTTATTTTATTTAACTTATTTTTTTTTTAATGTAATGTCACGTCATGTAGTTTTTAACTATATTATTATTATTATCAAATAAAACCTGGGATATGTTAGGAACTTTTTATGTTATCATTTATTACTATGAATAACTTAAAATTTTTGTTAAATGCTAAAAAAAAAAAAAAACTTATTATTATTTCATAATTTAATTAATCGGGGTGCCATTATTATTATTAAGGGGTCT